AAGTCTAGTAAATTACAGAATATTCTTTTACAATTATTATATATTAAAAAGAATGGATTAATTGAGAAGTAGTTACATAATGCATTATTGTTATTATAGTATTATTCTTCACGTCTAAAATAATTTAGTACTAAGCTAAAAAAACTATGATTCTAATTATCGTAACTTCTTAGACAGGCCATGTCTACTAATTAATGAAAAGTTTCAGAGTTCTACATTAATGAAGTTTCTATGTTGATTTTCGAAATAATTATTTCAAGGGATTCGTTACTAATAATATTTGATAACTTTATTTGTAATGTTTTTTTTTTTTTAAATTACTTAATTATAAATTTTTATGTTTATTTGGAGAAGTAATTTCTGAGGAAATACTGTAAGCAAACTGATTTACACCAGTGCTTATATGGTTGCATATACAATAATTTTTCTTTTCCAATTAGTATTATTATTTTTCCTTTGCTCTGTGATACTTGTGTATCTATGGCTTTCGATTTGTTTTGGTTAGTATTTATTATGGCATTTAAGTAACCTATATTTTAAAATTGTGTTCTTTTATTTGCTCTTGGCTGCATTTCAATTTGATTTTATGCTCGTTCATTTAATAGTATGATTAATTTGTTTTTTCTCGTTCTATTATAGAGATTACCCGATAAGTTAAGTTTATTCTGATACTGCCGGAATATCTACAGATGGGATAGGATGGTGTGCAATGGTGAAATTCTACCTGCATTATTACCTGCAAATATGATACCATTGATTGTAGGAGTCCTCTTCTCCAGAAAGTAGGAGTATCCCAAGAAATTCTAAAAGTGCCTTTTTGCCACAACAAAGACATTACTTGTTCATTTGTGGAAATGAATTATCAACATGAATGGTATACTACACAGAAGTTAACACAGTCAAGAGTACTCGGGATGCCATGTATTATGCGACATTGGTTCCTCATTCACTCTAGGTAGTAGAAGTACCTGAAGTCCTGAGGAGAGCGTGAAGGTGCCTTTTTTACATTTGGAACAGAAACAGTGTGTTATTGCTAAAGGAAAGATTTATGAAACTATGAGACGGATTGGTAAGTAACAGTATCAATTAAAAATAGTAGTTATACATTTGTAACACTTTCAATAGAGAGATTTTAAACAACATTCCAGAAATGTCGGATGCAGAATGTGTGAATGTTAGCTTAATACAAGGGATAAACCATTTAATCTTTTTTAAACTGCAGTATGAACTGACTGTATTTTTATTTTTGACTTTAATTTAATAGTCAGAAGAAATGTGATAAGGATGAAATATCATAACAGTTGTTTATTTGGCTTATTACTAAAGGTACATTGTATGTTTATTATTTTAGCAGTCACTTTTAAAATATTATTGGCTAAAAGTAGTTAATAATTTTTTTGTTCCTTTCTACAGATTGGTTAACAAATGGGAGAGATTGGAATGTTAATTTTAACCCTAACGATGACGACATGGGATGTCTGCATGGGTATCCTTTCTGAATTTGGTTTTCATTCCACACATGTAAACGTTGAAACACTACATTCTACAGCTAATTCAGGTAATAATACATGGTTAAATTAATATTAATTACACTTTATTAATCTGTTGTCAATTTGATTAACAAAAGACGTTCTGAATTCATAGGATGACGTACGTATGTTACTTCTTTGTATAATACCGTTAGATTGTCCATTATTTTGCTGGGGTTAAAGGTTATTGTGAACTTCAATTTATCCAATTTTTTTCTAAAAAGGCTTGGTTGGCGTTTATAGTCCCACTACATTTTGGTGAGTTTGTCATAAAAATTCATAGAGAACATCGATTTACATTTCCAACCACCCAATTTAACCAAGACTTTTATGTCTTGATTATTAATATTTTAAACCCTGATTTTGAAATTCGAGTCTTTAATAAGTAAAGGAATTCAGAAATACTACTGCAGCTTGACGTTCAGAATACTTTGCAGTAAAGTGGGTTGCATATATCAAAGACAAAATATTTAAAACTAAATCCATTTTAAATCCATGTTATGATGGTACGTTCCCGCGAAATTAAAGAGTGCGCTGTAGTCTAAATAAAAATAAAGATGTTACAGTGCGAGTCGAAATTTGTAAGCAGCTAAATTTTTGGATTTAAATAAAACAACCTAAATTTATATGATACATAAGCAATCTATGAAAATAAATAAGATTTTACAACACAACGCTGCTAATATAAGTGGTTTGTTTTCATTTTGTTTTGTATATTTCTTTAACGTGAGCATTTTTACCTTGTGTCCTGTACATTTCAACTTTTTATACGATTCCTGATAATGATAGTTAAAAATGCGGACAAAAAAGTGTTGGTTTTATTTGAAAAAGTTGTGATGAGAGATTGATAAACTCGTAACAGTTGCTTATTTCGTGGGCATCTGAAGTCTATAATTTATTTCTACGTTTCCAAAAAGAATTGTATTTCAAAAAAATTTCCGTATTTTGAAATTGCATACAAAGGAAATGAAGTTTCAGTTATAAAACCGTTGTAAAAAGGGCATGCACCTTTCGTTGGCACAAAAATGAAAAAATTAGTTATTTTGAATTATCCCAAATGAAATCGAAAATTTCCCACCCTTATACCAACAAAAGATGCTTGTCAAGTTTTTCACAACGGATTTAAAACTAAAACTTATGATTATGTTCCTGTATAAGCTTAATGTTACATTCTGTTTTTTTTTTTTGATATGAGCAATAGTCTGTACCATGTATGTCATCTTTTGGTTTTCTTTAAACACCTGAATAGAAATAATTGTCTCTGCATTATGTATACGTATGCAAAGTACATATTATATCATCTTTTGGTACAAATTGTAGTTTGTTAGTTACCTAATAACTTTATAAAAGCTTAAAATTTTGAACAATTGAAATCGACAGATTTTAACATTGTGTATCGTATATTATACATCAAGATTATTAATAATTCGGGCATAAGAACCACAGAAACGTTTGTTAATATTCTAGGAAAACTTTAATTGCAGGCAATTTTTTTTTAAAATAACAATAAGGTACTTCTAAAATTATGCTGCAATTACGTAGTTTCTTAATTTGATTCGTTTAATGTTTAAAAAATTCAATTTCTTGTCCATTTGGTAACATTTTTATTTGTAGTTTAAGATCTCTAAACCAGATAAATTGATGATAATAGGTAGAGTTTATTTAACTAAAAAATCATCTGATTTGATTACATATAAATTAAACCACCGAAATAAAACATATTAATTTGCTAAAAGTGATTAAATTGTTTCCACACAATACGTTAATTTGTGTATTTATTAATCAATCAAGTTACGGGTCATGCCCTAATAATACATAAAAAATGAAGGTGATGTGTTGATGTTATTCATATCTAAACTAAAACAAACAGTTTTATCACTGTTTCTTTTGCTCTTGTATTCGTTATCTTTTGAGTTGTGGTCAGGCGATGGAACTTTAACGAAGCAAAAACACGCATAAATTCAATTCTATAAAACGGGGATGAAACTAGTTACGCGATTGGTTAAATTACGAAACTTTTGCCGCGAAATCGAATTTGATGCTTCTGATTGGCGTTTTATACGCGTCATCAGTGCTTCATGCAGTAGCTTTCGCAACTTCGAGGCAAGCTGGAAACGCTCTCGGTTCATTATAAGTCGATAGTTGTTCATAGCGGTAGGATGTGTTTTCGCGTCTTTTAAATTTAACTTACTGAGCTAATTTTTTCGCAGAATTAAATTTTTTTNGATCAATATTAATTACTCTTTATTAATCTGTTATGAAATTTCTGTTAACAATTAGCTATTGTCAACAGTATAAATTGAGGTTATTGTGCATCAATATCACTTGACAGTTTTTATTTTCCACAGAATAAATTAATATTTATCATTGATGTATCTATAGAATTTATCTATCTATGGTGTTTATCTATCTTTGAAGTTTATCTATCTATGGATTTTCTTTTTAACCTTTTGCTGTTGTCAATGTCGTAAATTGACGTCGTGATATTTGACGTTAATCTATGTCGTGATCTATGGTTGTGATTATAATGGCGTAAAGTTGTTTGTTTATTTTTTAATTCAGCTATTTTACTTACTTTTTGGTGCGTTTTTATTTGTTTGTTAATTATAATTGTAATTAAAATGTTTTTTTGTCCATTTATGCAGGTTATACAATAAAGGAGAGTGAATTAATGTTCAGTATTGTTATACTGAAACAGCCCATGTCTACACGGGTGTGGTCTTTCCTGGATTATATTCTTGATTTGCTGTTTCGTCTTCAACTTGTAACATCATGCAGTTCCTTTTCGACCCATGAGCGAGTGCAACTGGATATTTATTTGAATTCCACAGAAATAAGAAATTCTTTGCTACAGTATTCCTCCTTGAGTTTGTTTACTTTTTACACCTGTAAACTTTG